TAGAGTCGTGGGGTGAGGATAAAGTGTTCAACTTTTAACTCTTTATAATGATGAAGGCCACCTTTGTGGCTTAAAAGCAAAGTGCTTGCCTACATACTCCCAGTTTGTGGTATCGAATCTTGGCAGCTTATTGTAAAAAAGGTGCTGTGTAACCGATATTTTGGTTACACGTCAGAATATTAACAGGCTACATTCTTTTATGTACCTTTGTGGGGTGTTCCTAGTTTAGATTTAGACAGAAAAAAAAAAACTACACCTTTTTGAAATCAAGTTTTAAACAAAGAACTCGGACAATACACCAACTCATGTTTACAAATGAAGCGGAGCACCCCTAGCGGACGCCACCGGCGCCGCGCATGCGCGATGCGGGTGTGGGCAAGAAGCTTGCCATCGCCCATAAACAAACCATTGAAATGTGATGTTGTCGGCGCCAATGTGAGTCCCCGCGCTCTCTTTCGCGTTGGAATTGTTGATTCTACGTCCTCCTAAAGATGTCGGACTACTTGAGCGGTGTCAGCGAAATTAACGAGGCTCGTTACACCGCAAAACTTCGCGTGAATAATCTGACATGCGGCGATTCATTCCGCATGGACGCTGCAGAATGTACGCTAAAGCCTGATTCACATGATGAGACTTCGCTTGCAATTTTCAGTAGCAACGTCGCTCGGACTGCAAAAGCGTGAACCGTAGCTGAGATGGTCGACGCCGACACTGACATTCGCAAGCAGAATCTAACCAAATGAATCAGGCATAACTAGTCGGTGATGGCCACTGGTAACAATGATCAACATCTCCTTGTATCTACTGTTTACGTCGAGCCTGCTTACCAACCTTCAAACTTAAGTTTTTTGAGGCCTGCACTTACTTCTTATCGCAAGTACCGGGCACACGTTTGGTCTATGGGCCGGTGTCCTCTAAAAGAGCAGACAACAAGCAGAAACGTTTGAAAGAGCGGACGACAGTTCGAACGATCAGGCGACCGTTTGAACTTGAAGACGCACTGAACGTAGTCCGCAGGTGGTCCGTACAACTTGACGGTTCTCCGGCGTTCATTTTGGAACAAAACAAATACATTTGATGGCCAGTAGTATCCGTGAATTTAATCCAAAATGCTTCCCGCCCAAGCAATCGTGGTCTGACGGCGTCTGGTTTTTCCTTTTCACGGCACATATCCACGTTATCGGACGAACCGAGCGCACGAAAACTGACCTTCAAACCTTTCTCGGCTCTCTTGGTACAGCGCCAGTCGCAGCATTTTGACGAGAAGGCAGGTTTTTGTCTGGTTCCTTTCAAAACAACGCAGGAATACACGTCTCACATGGGCACTTCTGCCCACAGCCTCGGACCGGAACTGCGTCCGACGCTTTACCGCGCCGTGACGTAACAGAGATGAGTTTGTGTATAAAACTGACTAAATGTTGGTTTGTTTACCGTATTAGACTTGCGAGTATTGCGCAACCAGCAGATGTGAATGTCAGTCACTCAGCCTGTTAACAAAGCAAATGGAGGTACAAGTATGGTTGGAGGTACAGCATTAACGGTTCCTCATGTTGTTTATTAACAGCTGTCAAAAGTGACAGCATCAGTTCCTATTCAAACTTGGAGAATAAACGCATTCCTCACTTTATGAAGCAAGCGGTTGTTGGTTGTATTAAATGTTTACTGAAGCAATAGTTTAGCAGTTTGCTTTATTTAGGGTCAGCTAATTTTTATGTAAAGATTACTACTTTTTCACCTGCAGCCTTGGCATGAAGCAATGAACTGAGTTTAGTGTATGTAGTGGTACCACTCGCACAGCTTGTTTTAATCATATATTTTGTTCTGCAATAAAAAAAAAAAAACACTACCACGCCCAAAAAAAAATTTTAAATTTTTTTTTCAGGTGATTTAAAATTGTGTCAGGACACTACCCAATCATTATTTTGCTGCAGAGTCACGTATCTTTTTAATAATGCTAAAACTTTTCCGAAGCGTGAGCAAGCAGATTCATGGCCGACTAGCGTACCGAGGAGGAGGGGGAAATGTGAAGGAGAGATTTGCCGGAAGTCGCATGGCTATTGCCCTCTACCCAGTTTTTTCTCGTCCGCTTCTCCGGCATGTGAAGTAGACAACGTTGCATGCTCCATTTGTCGTGCGATTGTTTTGCACTTATATCCCTTCCATGAACGACAGTTCCGAAGTGGCGGTCCCCCGTCCATCGCAGTATTTGTCCGTCGTGCACCGCCATCTTGTCGTCCAGCCCGCGGTACGTCGCCATAGTGAGAAGGACGTAGTGCGTTTACTTCCTTTGATCTGTGCAACATTTGTTTCAATCGACGTATTTGCAGCTTCTTGGATACCACAAAAAATATGATTTTATATGCTTCTCCATCTTTAATATTTAATGTGCACCTTGACGGCCCACGATTTTGAGTATATTTGGTATGCTATAGATTGAATGGACATGACCATGAAAAAGACAGTGAGTGCCCCTGGAACCAGCCAATTCTCGACCGGCGGTTTTTGGGCGGAAAGAAAACAAACTTTGTGTCGCAAATGGTGTCCTAGTAGTTAAGCTCTCGTAAATCATGTTCAAATAAAAAAATTGGCGAGCATAAATATCCTGTCAGTGTCCCTTTAAGGGAGGGACTTCCTTTTTTTTTAAATTAGGTAGGAGTCATTCACTGGTCACGATAGCTGTGTCTACTGCAGCCAGTTTCAGTCTGATTAACAAGCCTCCAATTCCACACCACTAGGCTTCTTGCTTTTGGACAATTGATAAGAGGGTACTTGATTTAAACATCATACCCCACAGTAACAGGCACAGCTCTGTGTGGTGCTGTGTTAGGAAATACTTGCTAAGGGTGTTTCTAGTTGTATCTCTTCCTGTTTCTGTTTAAAGCACAGATTGCTTTTTGAAATTATTACACATTGACTCTCTGTGGTTTTCCATTGAAGCCACTTTAATTTGCGAATTGCTGTTCAACATGCGCATTTTGGGGATGATGTTTCTGACCGGTTCTTGATATAATCTGAAAGGGATCTTAATCATCTTTTGATGCTAAAGAGTCTTTTCAAGGGTTTTATATTTTGGAGTCAGTGGCTGTTATTCTTGGCCACAATAATAGCTGTGGCAAGAACAGAAGAGTGATCTCACAAGAAAGAAGAAAAGTGTTCTTGAAATCTCTTGGGAAGGGGGAACAAACAAAGGCCAAAGAGAAGTGGTAGGAGATATTATCTTCCTCTACTTGCACTTGCTTATTCCTGAGAGCAAGAGGCAGATAAGAAAACTTGCTGGGATTATGGGGCTGCTTCAGGTACTGGCACAGGGCACAGAAGAGATACCTCGGAGCTAGAAGAGTCGACCTTTGTTTTGACCTCGAGCTAGATAATGCACTGGCAGACTTCGAAGCCTATCTCTTGAGGGATTCTCGAAGTGGCCAAAAGGGGAGGAGGTGATAAACTTTGTAATATTTATGTTAGATTCAGTTGGAAAATATCTAGACCAATTTTGGAAAGCCTGTACAAGTAGGAGTATGCTAAATGGAATTTCTGAGTGCATCTTTTTTCAGCCTGATGTTAGGATGCATGAGCCACTGTCTTAAGGGGTCATCATGAACCAAACCCCTAGTCTGGGGACAATACACAGAATAAGACATAACATGGTTGAGACTTTGTTATGTCTTAGGCTTGTGTGTGTATGTTAAAGTTGGTCTGGGTTTTCTTTATGTGGTTAACCCTCACCAGCTCCCATCGGTGCATGTATTTCCAATGGACGCTCACAAAAACAGATGGAAGATGCAACTGCAATACCTTTTGCTAGTTACTCGAGCGCATATTTTAGCAGACGGCATCTGCAAATTTGCTGAAATCGTCTTGAGCTGGCAGGTGACACTACCATCCTCTGTCTGCTTGTGTGAGCATCCATTGATGATGCACAGTCAGGCTTTTATTGATCACATAGCAATACCTTTGGTTTAGAGATTGAGAGTTGCTCCGAGAAAACTTTGATAGATTGTTTGGAATATTGTAAATGAGTAATTTTCATGAAAACACAATTTTTACTAATTTTGCTGCCTAAACTATATTGAGGAAACTTTATCACGCAAATATATCGCCCCGTGGTATGCCAAATATATAGCGTATAATTCCCAATCATAAAAGCTTTTTTGCCCAATAAATTTCCCCAAACTCCACATTGTGAAGTTTGAAATACAGAGGCCACGAAAATAAAGCCAGTTACAGTGGTGCTTAACTGGTAATGTTTACCATTTGAAATGGCTCAGGGCTGTAGCATGCACCTCGTCTGACTAGCATTCACATTTAAAAATGCAATTAATGTATAAAAGCTTGAAAACATATAAAAGTAATGGTAAGGGTAATGCTTTCACTAAAAGCAAGTTTTCACTAAAGCAAGTTTTCCAGGTTTTTTCACTAAAACACAACTGCAGAAAAGGAAACAGACATTCAGGAATCACCAAGAAAGGCATAACCAACTGGAACTCTCACCAGAAAATTGCTTCTCCCACGGCTTTTGGTGGGTGTGGGTCCTAGAAGTTTAGGAATGTTCTTTTTTAATAAAAATCCATTTGTGTGTTCTGCTGGGTCTCCCCATAACAACCTATTGGCGACGTGAGCTTTTGAAAGCGTCGCTGTGGTCGGCCCATCACAATTGGCCGAATGCTGACTATGACGTCAGCAAAGGGTGTCTCGTCGACGGAAGTAAGAGGAATGTAAGAACTTCAATTTTGACGGTGTTGGCAGTGTTGCTTTGAGAGCACAATGATTTCAGGCTTCCACCATGCTCATTACAAACACCATCGAATTTGTTGTTCAGAAGGTAATGACGTCACGAAAGGTAACCGAACGAGGGCGCCACCGAAACATCTCGCCGCTAATAGCAATTTGTCCATCGGTTGTTGAGTTGCAGGAGCATAGTTTGACACTTTATGTCCGGAGTGTCATTGGTATTTTTGTTGACAATATTTTAAAACTAACCTGTTTTTTTTTCTTTTTAATAGGCTGGCCACCTGAGCACGTACCGATTCTGTGACAACGTCTGGACCTTTGTGCTCAAGGATGTGGAGTTCAGGGAAGTGCAGGAGCTCGTCAAAGCCGACAAAGTGAAGATCGTCGCCTGTGATGGAAAAAGTGTGTTGTTTTTTCTCTTTGGTAGTTTGCTTTCTCTTTATGGGGAATAATTGGCGCAGTGCTACTTTATTGGGCTTATACTGAAGAGGTTCCGCTCAGTCCAGATCCAGTCTTACAATCGGTTTATTGCTCCTCCTGATCAATGGCCCCCTGGTTAAATTGTTTGCTTAGCTGTTGCCCTTAGCCCAATCAATGTTTCCAATCACAGCCGTTGTCCGTCTACTCAGCATTGACATTTCTGTGTATTGTTCTAAAAACTAGAGATGTATTTTTGGTGCAGGGCTTGTGTCGTACCAATCACATTATTCAAGCATAAAATGAGAAAAAATGTGCATATTGTAGATCTTGTATAAGTACATAGTCTTTGCATGCATATGGGATATAGGTCCAACATTCAAACCAATCTGTGGATGTGAATTGAACAAAGTGAACAAAATTGGAGACATTACGGGTGATTTCAGGTATATATGCATTGGGTCTCCATAACCATTTAATTTTTCTTTTCTTATAGACCAAAACCAGACCTAACCATTTGCATAGGCTGAAGAACCCCAGGTGTACAGATTTCTTCACGAATGACAAGCATCACCAATTCCTACGCACACGGTTGCTATCTGTACCCATGTATTTATGAATGAATTGCATCACCCTCCTCGACAGTCTCCTTTGTGGATTTTTTTCGAGAAAAAAAAACACACATACATAGCTGCAGTCACCCCTCTTTAGGTGTACTGCCAATCATGTGCCTTGGCATTGGCATTCTGTTTTTAGATATTCGAAATAAGGGTGTTGAATTGATAAAAGATAGTAAAAAGCTCAGATTCCAACATGACAGTCAAAAGCAATAATTGATTCATTGAAAGCTTTTTATAATATAATGAATGGTTTCATGCACTTAGCACTGATTGTTTAAAACCACCACTACCCAGGTCCTCGTGGTTAAATCATTGCCGAGCTTTAAAACAATGCAGATCTAAAAACTATTGTTTTAAATTTTCTTCCTTTGTGCAATACAAGAATGAAATAATTTAACAAATGATGTTGCGACAAATTATTCTTGAAAACTTTGTTGAGGCTATTGAGTTGCGCTTCGAATAGTAGTTCATTGGTGCACTGTTTTTCCCCTTTTTTTGTATTTTATGCATATAAAGAAAATAAATAAGGACAGAACATCAATTTTTGTGCTACTTAATCTCACCTACTAACAGTTCTTTGGTACAGCAAGTTTTCAGAAGTTGGGAACTATGTGAAAATTATCACATCTTTTTGGAGTAATGTTTGGAGGTGGGCTAGTCGGTGATGCATTGTAAACATAGAAATAAAACAGCGCAAACGAACACAAGGACAAGTAGAAGGCAGTGCTGTGTCTGCGTCCCTTTTTCTACTTGTCCTTGTGTTCGTTTGCGCTGTTTTATTTCTATGTTTACAATCTTTTTGGAGCTAGGTTCCTCACATTGGAAAGCTGAAGTTCAGGCCTGTTGGTGGCTCATATAAATCTTCATGAGCATCACCACCTTAATTTTTTCACCCTGGAAAGTTTGTTGATGACAAAAGGACAATGAACTGCGTGTGTAGTTCTTCAAGCCTTTACGGTTGCTGGTGCGGCCCATGACATTGAAACAGGATATTTGTAACTTATTTTCTGATATGCCCTGAATGTAAAATATGTTTGCAACTGAAATTTGGATGCAAGAGGCTTCTGGTTTTTTGTTTTTACTTTTGAGGATCAGCCGCCTGGTACCTGCAGTAAGGGAGGTTATACCTTGTTTTTAATTGAAGATGGTCATGTTTGTATATTTGGTGATAAGCTTGTGGCTACTAAAATATGCCTCTAGCTGATTCTCACGCAGTACACCCAGTTAAGAGACGGTTCAACAACCTTCCATCAGAAGCGGTCCCGGAATTTTTGCTAGCTCAGTGCATATTTAAGGCACTGAATATATTAGTTTACTAGACAACAACAGCTAAATATCTTGATTACATGTACACACTTCCAACAGCTCCCCCAAATTGTCAAGTCTCTCTTCAAGCGATGGTGCTAATTTTTTATGTAACAGGAAAACCGGCCTCAACTAGGCCTTAGAAAGCTGCACTGTAAATGAAATGGTAGGAAACTGACATGTTCTTTTTGTCACTTTTTGATTTGAGTGGGAAAAGAACATGTCATTTTCTACATCTGAGGACATTTTGTATATCAAGATGGCCATGATCTACAAGCCACACATGTTGATCTGCAAATTGTCTTCTGGTTTGCTAGGCAAGAGCTTACAAATTTCAATCCCTGTGGTGTTCTGGACAAAACCTCCATCAAGGGCTCAAAAGTAAGAATGGTGCGAGCACAGCTGTGCTAAACATTTGCTTTACACTGATCACTGGCTTTAGCAAAAAATAATTTCCTGAACGTTTATCTTGCATTTGGGACATGTTTATGTTGATGAACTGGACAGCAACAATACACTCCGTGCGGCGGCGCACCGCCGCCGCGCGGCCGTTACCGAAGGTAGGCAGTGAGAACCCCAGAGAAAACGGAACCGGAACCACGCCACGTACGTTGGTATGCATTGAAGTCGGAGCTGTGCGGTTGCGCTGGGTTCACAGCATGAAGTGCTGCCGGTGCTGCGTCGTTAAGTACTTCAATAGTTATGCGTCGTATCTCGTGGGGACAAAGTTTCACAGTTTTTCACCTCGCCAATGTTTTGTGGGACAGCAACAACGATGGACCCGTGCCGCACTGCACGAGAAATCTTGTCTCCCGATCATATTTGCCACTGTGTCGGCACGGCTGACATATTCTACACTGCCGCTTTGCGCTCTGTGTTTGTTTTTGTACCAGTGATGCCTATGTGTGTCAGCGCCGATGGCACGAACTGAAATGCCATCCCACACTCGCGGGTATGCAGTGCCAATTTCGTTGGAGGAATGCCCTCCAAAGAAGTTTCGTCCCCATCGTACGTGTCAATGATATTTCATTTATTTCATTTATTGTTCCCTCAAAGCACCTGGAGGCATTACATGAGGGGAGGAGAGACAAAAGAAAAAGTTTGCTGCAAAAACAAGAAAACACTAACATTGAAAACAGCACGCGACAGATCGTGCACACATACACAGCATACTATATACACAACAGCTACACACCAGAGAGCGTATAAAATTAAACTGACTTAAATAATTCTTCACATACACTCCTAAACTGTGCACAGTCTGAGATATCAACCACACTTTCAGGGAGGTCATTCCATTCATGAATAGCCAAGATCAAGGGCGACTCTGAAAAATGCTTAGTGCGACATAAGGGTAGCCTAATTTTATGACGGTGATCATGCCGAGGAAAAATCCTATGGGGCGGAAGTAAAAGTTGACTTTTAAGGTCAGCGTTGTAATAATACACGCGATGAAGAAAAGCCAGTCGTGATACTTTGCGTCTATTACATAAAGGAACAAGGTCAGCTCTTGTTTTTAGTGCTGTCACACTCGACATAAAGGAATAATCTCTAAGAATAAAACGTACGACTCCGTTCTGAACATACTCTATTTTTTAAATTAAATAATCTTGCCATGGGCTCCAAATAATGCTCGCATATTCTAGTTTTGAAAGAATAAAAGATTTGTAAGCTAACAATCGAACGTGACTTGGTGCTAAGAACAAGTTCCTCCTAAGATACCCTAGAGATTGATTCGCTTTGCTCACAATGTGATCAATATGCATTTTCCAGTTGAGATTATCCGTTAGAAATACTCCGAGGTATTTGTAATGAGTTACATTTTCAAGAATTGCACCATTAACTTTATAATCAAAGGCAGACTTAGACGTAATTGTAGCAAAAGTAAGAAGCTTGGTCTTTGTAATATTGACATCCCTTTGCCATTTAACGCACCATAACCATAGCGAATCAAGGTCACGCTGGAGGGCAAAGCTATCTTCGTTCGAGATAATGCGCCTATATATTACGCAGTCGTCAGCGTATAGCCGAATTTTTGAACAAATTAAGTTAGGTAGATCATTAATGTAAATTAAAAAGAGAAGAGGGCCGAGGACGGAGCCTTGCGGGACACCGGATTTTACTGAGATACTTCGAGATGAGTCGTTATGAATCGAGACTGATTGAGTTCTTTCAGAAAGGAATTCTATGATCCAGGCTACAAGAGACTGATGCATATTAAGTGACTTAAGTTTACTTATCAAACGCTGGTGCGGGACCCGATCAAACGCTTTCGAAAAATTGATAAAGATAGCATCAGTTTGCGTTTGGACAAGTATGGCACGCAATCTCTATTTCGTGTAGAAAGATTCGAACTGTAAAAAAAAAAAGTGACAAATACGAATCTAAGGAAAACTACAATGAAACTCGGAATCACCGGAGAATTGACGATTGAGTATGGAAGTTTATGTGGTGTGCTTTCTTTTTAGAGTGCAGCTCTTAGGCGCCCGTTTTCAGCTTGAGCGGCGTCGCCGTCGGCCTAACCGCGCGGTGCATTATGGGTAAATTTCCCCGCTAAATTTAGTGGAAAAATTTTCCCGCTAAATCTAGCGGAAAAATTTCCCTGCTAGATCGAGCGGAAAAATTTCCCCGCTAAATCTAGCGGAAAAATTTCCCCGCTAAATCTAACGGAAAAATTTCCCCGCTAAGTCTAGCGGAAAAATTTCCCCACTAAGTCTAGCGGAACAATTTCCCCACTAAATCTAGCAGAAAAATTTTGCCGCTAAATCTAGCGCAAAAATTTCCCCGCTAAGTCTAGCGGAAACATTTCCCCGCTAAGTCTAGCGGAAAAATTTCCCCGCTAAATTTAGCGAAAAAATTTCCCTGCTAAATCTAGCGCAAAACTTCCTCCGCTAAATCTAGCGGAAAATTTTCCCCGCTAAATCTAGCAGAAAAATTGCCCCGCTAGATTTAGCGGAAAAATTTCCCCACTAAATCTAGCGGGAAAATTTCTCTGGGGGGTCACGTGACCTGGGGGGTCGTCACGTGACCCCCCCCCCCCCCCCCCCCGAGGTCACGTGACATCCCCCAGGTCACGTGACCCGCTTGGGTCACGTGACCTGGTGGACCTGGACCCAAGGTCACGTGACCTTGGGGAGGGGTCACGTGACCCCCTATGTGGACCCCCCTCCCCCTGAGGTCACGTGACCTCGGGAAGGTCACGCAACCTCCCCCCCACAACGTCACGTGACCCCCCACGAGAACACGTGACCCTCAGTACCCTTCCCTCCTCCTCCTCAAGAGCTGCTCTCTAATTCGGCGTTACAGGTAGTTGTAAACGGCTTTCACTTTTTTTGATCAGCCTCCTTTTGGATGTGGAAACGCGGACACCCCGAGTTCTGTAGACATCTTTTTTTTTTCTTGGCTTTAGAGCCACCTATCACAAAGTTGTTTGAACTGGAAGTACCGTCCACTGGTCCCTCCCTACCTGTAAAGTGTACACCTCCCACGATGAGTGGTATTATCTTGACAGCCTTTGATGGTCAAAACTGGTTCCCATTTAGTTACGCCGCCCAAACTAACTTTCCACTTGGTTTTGCTATGCCACCTCTTTTTAATATAATAAGTGTTGTGTCAAGTTACGGTCATGTCAAAGTGCCCGTGTGCCGAAAATCAGCACCTCGCGCAACAGGTTATTACACAATAGCTGACCGCAAAAGCCTTTGACTGCCAAACC